TATATATATACCATAATTGTATCGGACAACTACAGAATTAAATAGGGACGCATTGCCATCTACAGGCTGCAGTGGCCTCTGCAAGCTGAAACTGTTTTATTCTCATTAAACCTTCAGCCTGCATGTAATCTCTATGTCATAGCTGACATATGGATCACATAATTGAGAACCACCTTGACTGGTTCCTGACACTGGGTACCAGAGCTTTCAGCGACGGTTATGGTTCACTTTCACAGCTTGCAGCCAAACATATTGTCAGTTAGCAGCTGTCAAAGGAATAACGTAGATTTGTGTATCCTCAGTACCTGGTATTGTGCATGGCAATGTAATCTACAGACTGTGGACAGTAGGAGGTTAAAGAGAAACAAAAAGGACAAAGAGATGACAAGGAGATAGAAAAAAGGTGGAAAAGCAGAGAATGTGTGCACGGTGATTAAACACAACACATAGCAAATATAATATATAAACTTGTAAACTGCAATATAACAGATGCCTTACATAGAAATATTTTGGTCACAATATCGTATCATTATTTTCATTGAATTAAATTTGATTTATCCTTCACATTCTTCTCTTTACAGGCAATTATCGCTGAACATGAAATCCGCAATATATCATGTGCTGCACAGGATCCAGAAGACCTCTCTACCTTTGCATACATCACAAAAGACTTGAAATCTAATCTCCATTATTGTCACGTGTTCACAGCTTTTGATGTGGTGAGTTCAAGTGAAATGAGTTTGAGAATGTATTTTTCTGCAAGTAGAGAAATACACTGGTTGATCCACCCAGAAAGCCTGAGCAGCACTGAACTGAAATCTCAATTATCAACTTTCCTGGTTCTCTTGTGAACTACAGAATACCCCTCCACCATGTTATGGATATATGGAGAGGGGGATGTGTTCTGTAGACCTCACACACTATAGATACAGTACAGTGAGTGAGTGTTGTCGCCGTAGGACAGGAAGTGTGTTACTGGCAGGATCCGTAGGTGATAATAATGGGGGGAAAAAGCCTAAAAAACTGCAATATATTACATTTCTGTTTTGGGGTTTAGATACTTTTTAAGTCAGACACATCCATTCAACTAGTCTTTCCTTCAGAAGGCCAGCGATGGCAGCCCTCATACTTTCCTCGTAACAGTCTAACTTTGAGACCTATTGGGTAAAATGCTTAAGAGAAGACTTCTTTTCTTATTTTATGTGGTGGCAGTGTGGTCACAGTCCAGATAATGCAGCTGCAGTAGTAGTAACTATACTGAGACATAAGCATGTGTGTGTCCTAAGATAACATGTTGGAACAATGTGGACAATTATTATTTTGTTCCTTTAACTGCAGAATTTAGCCTATGAGATCATCTTGACATTAGGACAAGCATTTGAAGTTGCCTATCAGCTCGCACTGCAGGCCAGGAAAGGTGGACATTCCTCAACACTTCCAGAGAGCTTTGACAGCAAACCTACCAAACCTATCCCAAAACCTCGAGTCAGTATCCGAAAGGCAACGGTAAGGAAGATCAGCCCACCTAAATGTGATGTTTTAGTCATTGGTTGAACCTGGTAAGCTAAGCCAAGAGGAAAATGTGTCACCAGCACACCAAGGATCTTCACCCAATAACACCTTTATTGATGTTCATTCATAGTGTCACACAAAGCAATGTTTTGTGACCGCACAGGATCCCTTCATCAGGCACGATGTGATCAATAATGTGTTTGTCACATTATGCCTGATGAAGGGAACCAGTGCGGTCACAAAACATTGCTTTGTGTGACACTATGAATGAACATCAATAAAGGTGTTATTGGGTGAAGATCCTTGGTGTGCTGGTGACATATTTACCTCTTGGCTTGATGTGGCAACATCCGCAAAGTTACTTAAGCACCTGCTAAATAAGGGGTACATCAGCCAGGTGTGTGGTGGGATGTCTGCATGATTCTGTGGTAACCTAAGCCCACCCCTGGTTTTCTACAGTGCATTCAGAAAGTATTCAGACCCCCTTCACTTTTTTCAATTTTGTTATGCTGCAGCCTGATGCTACAGTTGTTCAAAATTCTTTTTTTTTCTCATTAATCTTCACTCAGTACCCCATAATGACAAAGTGAAAACAGAATTTTAGAAATTTCTGCAAATTTATTAAAAATAAAAAAACTACTGAGATATTACATGTACTTAAGTATTCAGACCCTTTACTCAGTACTTTGTTGAAGCATCTTTGGCAGCAATTACAGCCTCGCATCTTTTTGGGTATGACGCGGCATGCTCTGCACTCTGGATTGGGGGATTTTCTGCTATTCTCTTTTGCAAATCCTCTCAAGCTCAGTCAGGTTGGATTGGGACCATCGGTGGACAGCCATTTTTAGGGCTCTCCAGAGGTGTTCAATAGGGTTTAAGTCAGGGCTCTGGCTGGGCCACTCTAAGACATTCACAGAGTTGTCCCTAAGCCACTCCTGCGCTGTCTTGGCTGTGTGCTTAGGATCGTTGTCATGTTGGAAGGTGAGGTCCTGAGCACTGTGGAGCAGGTTTTCATTGAGGATATCTCTGAACTTTGTTCCATTCTACTTTCCCTCAACCCGTCTCCCAGTCCCTGCTGCTGAAAAACAACCCCACAGCATGATGCTGCCACCACCATGCTTCACTGTTGGGATGGTATTGGGCAGGTGATGAGCGGTGCCTGGTTTCCTCCAGACATAATGTTTACAATTGAGGCCAAACAGTTCAATCTTGGTTTCATTAGACCAGAGAGGCTTCCGTCTAGCCACTCTGCCATAAAGGCCAGATCGGTGGAAGGCTACAGTGAATGTTGTCCTTCTGGAACTTTGTCCCATCTCCACACAGGATCTCTGGAGCTCAGTCAGATTGACCATCAGGTTCTTGGTCATCTGTCTCTGAGCTCTGCAAGCAGTTCCTTTGACCTCATAGCTTTTGCTCTGATACAGTATGCATTGTCAGCTGTGAGGCCTTCCTTAGAGAGGTGTGTGCCTTTCCAAATCATGTCCAATCAATTTCATTTACCACCGGTGGACTCCAATCAATGTGTAGAAACCTCTCAGCAACGATCAAGAAAAATGGGAGGCACCTGAGCTAAATTTCAAGTGTTGTTGCAAAGGGTCTGAATACTTTTGCCAATATGATATTTCAGTTTTTTCTTTTTAATAAATTCACAGACATTTCCTAAATTCTGTTTTCACTGTGTCATTTTGGGGTACTGAGTGTAGATTATTGAGGGGAAAAAAGAATTTAAACAACTGTAGTATCAGGCTGCAACATAACAAAAATGAAAGAAGTAAAGGGGGTCTGATTACTTTCTGAATGCACTGTATATGTCTTGGATACTTCCAACAGTCCCTGCCATCATTCTTAATGCTCTTTCTGTCCACCAGAGGTAATTAAAGCCAGATTCCCAGACCAAGTTTTGCAGTGTCTGTATGCTTTGGTTAGCTTAACAAGATCTCTAAGACTAATTTGCCAACCTAAATAATGTTTTAAGTGCATAGAAGGCTTTGATTGTGTTATTGTTTTTGTTATCAAGCTGGCAAATAGACAAACATTTTTAACATATACTGTACATTATATTATTGTTTTTTTTACACATAACATTTTTAATTTTTTTAAATACTTTTATTAATTTTTTTACACACTGCAATCCACAGTGACAGCTGCAGCCTTTGGCTGTAGCTGTCACTGTACCATTTCTGAGTGAGACACATTGAATGCGTAATCTTTCAAATAAACCTCGTGTGGACATCATAATTGGCTGTTATGATGATCACATGATAGAAAACCATACTGGTTGGTTCTTAATTGTTATTGTAGACCATCGGCTGTCAGTGACAGTGAGGTTTCAGAAACCAGAAGTATGCCCAGGTGTGCAGTCCTAGCTCTAAAATTAAACTGTGCTTGAGAATAATCTACAAGTTGTGGGCATAAAGGTAATAGTGAGAAAAGCATTGCAAATTACCCTAACCAGTCAAAGTGTGAGATGCCATAACTTTCCCACACTCCAATGGGTTTATCGGATCCAGGAGTAGAGCCATATTCGTTCCAAGAATTCTGTATTAAATGTGAGCAGGTGTGTACATGAGCCTTATGATGTGATGATACATTTTATGACCATTCCTTCCAGCAGATAGATCAACCAGATCAAAAGACTCTTTCTAATATGCCTTGGATTGTTGAACCTGGACAGGAAACGAAACGGGGGATCAGCACCAAGTACGAGACCACCATCTTCTAATATCAGCTGGCCCCCCTCTCCTCGGTGTGCCTTCGTACACTTGCCCATGTTAAAAACGTGCAAACGGCAGCCTGCTCTCAAGCACAGAATAACGAGCCTTTGACGCGGACTGTACGGCATAGAAGAACAGCATTATTCTACCAACTACTAACAAAACTCAAAATACTGCCAAGAAAAGGAATCTTATATTTTTTTGATGATTTTTTTTTTCTCTTGTAATTTCGATCACAGTGTTTCTTTTTTTATTTGTTTAACCTCCGGATTTACTGGAGAAAAATTAATTCTTCATGTACATTTTGTTATAACAATTTCATTTTGCAGTTGGTTCATGGCAGTGATATTCTACAGCATCCTGAAGCAGTATTTGGACTCAGCCTTGTAATTAAGTATTACAAAAAAAGTTGGAAAAAAAGAAAAAAAAAAGTAATAATATTCTGGAACTTTGAACCTGCCAAGAAATAGATTCATTTTTATGCACAAGTGCATCTTTCTATCTAACTATTGTATGTGATTTAATTACAGAAATAGTACTCAGCATTTTGAAAAAGGAACTGGGTTTGCAACAATGTAAAGAGTTCTTTGTATAATATTTTATAGGCTATTGCAGTTGAAGCCTTGTTACTAAATTGTAAAAAAAAAAAATATATTACTGTATCCATAAAGAATAAGATACTGTCAGTAAAATGACGCAAAACGATATTGGATTTCACATGATTTTTTAATGTTATTGCACATATTTAAAGTGTATTCAAGGAATTTTCATAGATCTGGATAGAACCCGGAATAGTTATTTCTTCTTTCAAAATTTTATAGCTGATAATTTAACCCTCCGTTTGTCCTGGGGGTCATTGTCATTGAATGTTAGGGGTAATCCAAAATATTAAAGCTGTCATCAGAGCAAGAGATGTGAAATATCCTCCAATGGGGACCCCTTCACCCTTTGACAACTCTTTAATACAGACATTCCTTTTAGGGACAGTTCCTTTTGTATCTCCTGGATAGGAAGCGTAAGGAAATCTCCTTAGTGGGACACAGGTGGAATATATACATATATAGCAGATAGGAGTTTATATTCAAATTAACAAACTAAAAAAAAAAATGAAAGAACTCCATTGTAATTAAAGCTCATATCCAGCCAAGAATGTATCTTTAGTTCTGGACAGAATGAGGTTGCAAATATCAGCCAGCTAACATTGTGGAGACTTCCCCTTGCTTTCTGTCTTAGTGACCACACAGGAAGTAAGGGGAAATCTCTCTCATGGGCACACAGGCAGCAATAAAAACTTAATAGGGGCTCTAATCTTTGCACATTTATTAAAACTAAAAACAAAAATTATACTGTTGTGCTATAAAAGCTTATCTGTTGCTAGTGATTTCACTAGTGTGATCAGTCTCTATGTCACTAGTGTGATCAGTCTCTATGTCACTAGTGTGATCCGTCTCTATGTCACTAGTGTGGTCAGTTTCCATGCCACTAGTGTGATCAGTCTCTATGTCACTAGTGTGATCAGTCTCTATGTCACTAGTGTGATCCATCTCCATGTCACTAGTGTGATCAGTCTCTATGTCACTAGTGTGATCCATCTCTATGTCACTAGTGTGATCCATCTCTATGTCACTAGTGTGATCCATCTCTATGTCACTAGTGTGATCCATCTCTATGTCACTAGTGTGATCCATCTCTATGTCACTAGTGTGATCCATCTCTATGTCACTAGTGTGATCCATCTCTATGTCACTAGTGTGATCCATCTCTATGTCACTAGTGTGATCCATCTCTATGTCACTAGTGTGATCCATCTCTATGTCACTAGTGTGATCCATCTCTATGTCACTAGTGTGATCCATCTCTATGTCACTAGTGTGATCCATCTCTATGTCACTAGTGTGATCCATCTCTATGTCACTAGTGTGATCCATCTCTATGTCACTAGTGTGATCCATCTCTATGTCACTAGTGTGATCCATCTCTATGTCACTAGTGTGATCCATCTCTATGTCACTAGTGTGATCCATCTCTATGTCACTAGTGTGATCCATCTCTATGTCACTAGTGTGATCCATCTCTATGTCACTAGTGTGATCCATCTCTATGTCACTAGTGTGATCCATCTCTATGTCACTAGTGTGATCCATCTCTATGTCACTAGTGTGATCCATCTCTATGTCACTAGTGTGATCCATCTCTATGTCACTAGTGTGATCCATCTCTATGTCACTAGTGTGATCCATCTCTATGTCACTAGTGTGATCCATCTCTATGTCACTAGTGTGATCCATCTCTATGTCACTAGTGTGATCCATCTCTATGTCACTAGTGTGATCCATCTCTATGTCACTAGTGTGATCCATCTCTATGTCACTAGTGTGATCCATCTCTATGTCACTAGTGTGATCCATCTCTATGTCACTAGTGTGATCCATCTCTATGTCACTAGTGTGATCCATCTCTATGTCACTAGTGTGATCCATCTCTATGTCACTAGTGTGATCCATCTCTATGTCACTAGTGTGATCCATCTCTATGTCACTAGTGTGATCCATCTCTATGTCACTAGTGTGATCCATCTCTATGTCACTAGTGTGATCCATCTCTATGTCACTAGTGTGATCCATCTCTATGTCACTAGTGTGATCCATCTCTATGTCACTAGTGTGATCCATCTCTATGTCACTAGTGTGATCCATCTCTATGTCACTAGTGTGATCCATCTCTATGTCACTAGTGTGATCCATCTCTATGTCACTAGTGTGATCCATCTCTATGTCACTAGTGTGATCCATCTCTATGTCACTAGTGTGATCCATCTCTATGTCACTAGTGTGATCCATCTCTATGTCACTAGTGTGATCCATCTCTATGTCACTAGTGTGATCCATCTCTATGTCACTAGTGTGATCCATCTCTATGTCACTAGTGTGATCCATCTCTATGTCACTAGTGTGATCCATCTCTATGTCACTAGTGTGATCCATCTCTATGTCACTAGTGTGATCCATCTCTATGTCACTAGTGTGATCCATCTCTATGTCACTAGTGTGATCCATCTCTATGTCACTAGTGTGATCCATCTCTATGTCACTAGTGTGATCCATCTCTATGTCACTAGTGTGATCCATCTCTATGTCACTAGTGTGATCCATCTCTATGTCACTAGTGTGATCCATCTCTATGTCACTAGTGTGATCCATCTCTATGTCACTAGTGTGATCCATCTCTATGTCACTAGTGTGATCCATCTCTATGTCACTAGTGTGATCCATCTCTATGTCACTAGTGTGATCCATCTCTATGTCACTAGTGTGATCCATCTCTATGTCACTAGTGTCATCAGTCTCTATGTCACTAGTGTCATCAGTCTCCATGCCACTAGTGTCATCAGTCTCCATGCCACTAGTGTGATCAGTCTCCATGCCACTAGTGTGATCAGTCTCCATGCCACTAGTGTGATTAATCTCCATACCACTAGTGTGATCAGTCTCTATGTCACTAGTGTGATCAGTCTCTATGTCACTAGTGTGATCAGCCTCTATGTCACTAGTGTGATCAGTCTCTATGTCACTAGTGTGATCCGTCTCTGTGTCACTAGTGTGATCCGTCTCTATGTCACTGGTGTGATCAGTCTCTATGTCACTAGTGTGATCATTCTCTATGTCACTAGTGTGATCCGCCTCTGTGTCACTAGTGTGATCAGTCTCTATGTCACTAGTGTGATCAGTCTCTATGTCACTAGTGTGATCAGTCTCCATGCCACTAGTGTGATCAGTCTCCATGTCACTAGTGTGATCAGTCTCCATGCCACTAGTGTGATCAGTCTCCATGCCACTAGTGTGATCAGTCTCCATGCCACTAGTGTGATCAGTCTCCATGCCACTAGTGTGATCAGTCTCCATGCCACTAGTGTGATCAGTCTCCATGCCACTAGTGTGATCAGTCTCCATGCCACTAGTGTGATCAGTCTCCATGCCACTAGTGTGATCAGTCTCCATGCCACTAGTGTGATCAGTCTCCATGCCACTAGTGTGATCAGTCTCCATGCCACTAGTGTGATCAGTCTCCATGCCACTAGTGTGATCAGTCTCCATGCCACTAGTGTGATCAGTCTCCATGCCACTAGTGTGATCAGTCTCCATGCCACTAGTGTGATCAGTCTCCATGCCACTAGTGTGATTAATCTCTATGTCACTAGTGTGATCAGTCTCTATGTCACTAGTGTGATCAGTCTCTATGTCACTTGTGTCATTAGTCTCTATGTCACTAGTGTGATCAGTCTCTATGTCACTAGTGTGATCAGTCTCTATGTCTCTAGTGTGATCAGTCTCTGTGTCACTCTGTGTCACATCTTGTTATTACTGAGGCCCATTTTAATAAAGGTTGTTTGGGGAACCTTGGTGACTTTACAACCCGTGGGGGTATCATTGCACTTGTTTTATCTTGAGAGAGATCTCTCTCTCTCTCTCTCTCTCAAGATAGAACAAGTGCAATGATATATATATCTCAAATATATCAGTGGACAGCCATCTCTCAGCTGCTGTAACTGCCTTTGCCAACAGGATGGCATGTTAATGACTATATTATAGGGTCATCAATACTACTGTGTCCTGCCGCAGAGGGACAGTCGCTCCAAGGGCAGCTCAGCGCCGTTCATCAAGCTGTGGGCAGATGGTAATGTGCAAATTTGGGAACAGAAGACACTGTTTCCAGTAAAGGCCAATTGAGGAGGTGCCAGAGGATCACATCTCTCATCACTTTGTATTTGTAATACAGAAATGAGTTCTTTTTACCAGAGTGTTATTATGACATTTGGAAATA